GAATTATCGAAAGAATTAAACGGAAATAATCCGATTTGGAATAGAACGCTTAAATTTAAGATGAAACTTTAGTAAAAGTCGTTAGGAACACGATAGAAATATTCAAAAATGTTCGAAAAACGAACGAGCAGAAAGCTCCATGATGTGCGAATACGCGCATGCGCAGATCTAGACACACACTGTACGCATTCTGGAGAATGCTAATTTTTACTTAATTGCTTGTATAGTGTGACCCATACACTGGGCAGCTCGAGAGTTGGAATGTTGCACGTGTCCAAGGTGGTAGTAAGAAGAGACTCCCATATAAATACGATTTTTCGATCCTTACAGCTCTTGAGCATAACCGCTTGGGACCATAGCGGGTTGTAACCCTGCTCAAGTACTTTTCTTGCGAGCTCGGTGGTGTGTCTACCCCTCGCAACATCGTTTTGGTGCTCTTCTAGTCGGCTGGCAAGCATTCTAGTAGTGGCCCCGACATATCTTGCATTTACTCCCGTTGTAAGGTTTTCCAGAGGTACAGCATAGACCCCCGACTTCTCAAGCGTGGAAAATTTGTCCCTATCATTACAAATGAGTTTGCGTAGGTTTGGAAGTGGGGTTAGTGGTAGTATAAGGCCGTGCTGCTTAAAGATTCTGCAGATACGTATAGAGAGGGGTCCCAGGTATGGCAACGATGTTTGTACCATTGAAAATTCTCTTTTGCTGCATAATGTGGTACTTGGAAACAGTGATTTCTTTACCATATTGAGCACGTGCGTAAATTTTGCACGTGAAAAGCCAGCAGTGCGTACCCCCAAACTTATGTTGTCTAACTCCATGTTTACCAGCTCTTGCGAAGATGATAGTAAGTAAGCCCTTCTAACGAGAGCGGCAATGGCAGCATTGACATATCGAGAAGGCTGAAAAGCCTCTGCTGGTATAATATGTGGAGCTATGCTGGACTTGTGATGAACCGAGAATTGTAGTCCTTCCGAAGACTTACTTATATGCAGGTCTAAGAACGTTATTGCCGCATCGCTTTCTTTTTCCCAAGAGAAATTGATGGAAGGATATATGCTTGACAGTTGCTGCATAAAGATGAGGAACGTCTCATCTGTGTCTTCCCACGCTATGAGGATGTCGTCAACGTAACGCAAATACAGCCTCGGATAGTGGATGGCAAGCGGGGAATTGAATGTTCTGTGCTCGATCTCTCTCATAATAAGTTCTCATAATAAGCAAAAAGTAAAAATTAGCATTCTCCAGAATGCGTACAGTGTGTGTCTAGATCTGCGCATGCGCGTATTCGCACATCATGGAGCTTTCTGCTCGTTCGTTTTTCGAACATTTTTGAATATTTCTATCGTGTTCCTAACGACTTTTACTAAAGTTTCATCTTAAATTTAAGCGTTCTATTCCAAATCGGATTATTTCCGTTTAATTCTTTCGATAATTCGCCTGATGACGACGGCTATATGTTCGTCGAAAGTACTAGCGAATAAAAAAACGCACACATAACGCCGACCTCAGTGCCTTCCCTTTTTTACAATATAATATTTTGGCGTGATCGTCAGCAAATTGATCATGAACAAAGTTGTGAATTTGATTGACTAGTAACTCATTAGGTTATCATATCAGTGAAAATGTGAGAATAATGAGTAACCAGTACTGTTTTATAGCCTAAATTAATTGATCTGGAAACAAAGATCAGGCAGCAATCCAGGAAGCAGACAATCTAAGATCATTGATGTGGTGTCAGCAGTTTTAGATTACACAATAACCAGATGTTACATAAACTTAGGTGACTTAGCTACCAAACTGATCCACTTGTGAGCTCTTGGCAATGGGGCCGGTTACCCGAAAATGCTTGAGAAAAACTGTTATTGAAGCAAACTCCAATAAAGTAGATTATTGTTTTTGTTAAATATATATTTTTCCCAGTCTTATTAATCCTGTGCTTCCTCCTAATGGACTTGTATCTGTTCAAGACGACGGAAGAGGATCCAAAGGGATATAGATTCTAATAAACAGAAAAGTGAAAAAATGCAGTGACGCAAGTCATTAGATGTAAAAATGGCTTCCGATACTACTTCAAAAAATGGTATACAGATGGAAATGTTTAGGCGCATAAGGAGTTTACCTTTAAGAGAACATAATATAAGAATTTCTGTGTGTTGTACAATAAAATCTATGTTAGAAGTTAAATTTACTTTTGACTCTACTATGTATAAGTTTATATAAAAGAGTTAACAGTTATTTCGATCATTGTATAGGTTAAAAAGCTATATATTTGTAAATACCAAACAAACAGCCAGATTCTTTATCCCCTTAATACAGACTTTTATTGAAAGAAGCATGCAATAATGCAATGTTTTACTCAACATAGACTGTCCACAAAAGCAGTTATATTTTATCTGTGGAAATTGCTATTGAAACGTAATTGTGTGGAGTACAATGCTAAATGAGAAAGGAGATAATCAAAAACAATTTTACTTTATTTTGCATCAGTACACAATGATTAAAACCAATTGCTGAATATGTATATATCACTTATATATTGCATTCATATATAATAATATAATGTACTATACAGTACATCAATATGCACAATAAGTCTGCTTATGACAAGTTACAAAATTTATTGAAATTTTAGGTGCAAATATGAAAAATAACCATTCTTTTATGCAATTATGATTTTCTTAAGATTTTTTGTTATCCATGTTTATTCGAGCATATACATTATGTAACACTAAATCTGATGCTGCTCTAACGTTAAATCTCTGGATATGCCAATTTTTGCCTGTATTGTCCCGAGTTATCTCAGATTTGCACATTAACAGGTTAATAATAATAAAAGATTATTATAATAGTTTTAAGGAAACTAAATTTAACAAAACAGGAACAAGTTAATTCTAAATAAATATTAAAATTACAAAGTTAATAAGACAATAACTCTTTAAAAAGTTATTAAATTACCTTTCATTTTCCAAATTACTTGATTCCTCGCCAGACTTGATTAATTTTAATACGTTTTCCAGATACAAGATGGCCAGATGCGTGTGAAATTTTTCTTTCTACGTTAAAAACCATCAAATTTTAATTAATGACATCATCATTAAGAACAAAAACATTTCATTTTTAAACTATTAAATTGTAACAATTTAAATAATTGAAATTATCATTTCTTGTTTTTGATTTATTGTCTTATAATTTCCACAATTGAATTCATTTTAACTCGCTCGAAAAATAGATACATTGTCAAAAATGTTGTCTCGAAGAAATATTTAATATAATTCCTGTATTTTCCTGAAAACAGCAGACAATATAGTTCCTTCCAATTTTATTTACACAAGTATATAAAATGTGTTTTAACTGATTTCTTTCTAGTTAGTGAGATGTAAATTCAGGGTGATCATAATTAACAACTTGTATATTCCTTTATATAAAGAATGTAAATAAGAATAACTGATATGTTGTACACTTTTGTAATATTTAGTGTGAAACTATTTTTCTCTATGTATCTGTTAATGTTTTGTAATGTCTCTAATGTCTGTTAATGTCTCTATGTAATGTTGATGTTTTACTGCATTATACCTAATCACAAGACTCAGCAACCAATCAAAAAAAACATTACATAAAATTTCTTTTTTAATTTATTTCACATAATAATGTGAATTTTCATTTAACAAACATTTTATTCTCGTTCTTGCTCTATCCAATTAAACTCATATTAAATATTTTTTTCCATATATTAATGAACAAAAATAATTCACCAGAGGATATTTCCATTAATGAATGTTTGTATGTATTATAGGGAAACTGTCAGGAAACATATAATTTATGGTGTATTATTATTTAATGAATGTGTAACTTAGAATACTATAGCAATTATATATTAATAATAATAATAACTGTATGGTATACCTCAATAACTGTGTGTTACGATTTATACTGTAAATTACATGTTCCCGACAGCAGTTCAAGGATTGCTCTGGAAAATTTTAAAATATTGCCACCATTTCACCAGTTTAAAATTTTTTTGTCACCAGTTTTACTGACTAATTAATGCAAGTGCTGGTAGCATTATCAGTTTGGTGTGTGGAAAGCAAAAGTAACATGTTAAGCTGTCACTTGCAGGGAGAGGACAAGACATTCAGGACTCCGATTCAAACAAAACTTGGTGAGCGCAAAGCCAAGATCTCCGATTCAAACACAAACAGCTCCTCATCCAAATAATAAAACCCGCTTTTCAAGCATTTCCAAAAATGGGCCACTAAAAATTTAGCATTTAGCTCATAAGTCTTTGAAAATTTCATGTCCAAGAGTGGCAATAGTCGAGCAAATAAGACGCTAAACACTAGAGCTAACCAATGTAGGTTCAATTCTTTGAAATTTTATTTTACATTTTTTTATATGTAACATTATTTTACCATGTTATTACTACTTATTAGCACTATTACTATTATTATTATTCTTCACATTTAAAACTTATAAAACAAGAGATTAAAAATTGTGACACCATTTCCTGTTTACGGAAAACAAGCCTCTGTAGATTTAACTCTTACATTATTAAATAAAATTTTCTTTATATTTATTTTTATTTTAGCATGTTATTACTACTTATTAGCACTATTACTATTATTATTATTCTTCACATTTAAAACTTATAAAACAAGAGATTAAAAATTGCGACACCATTTCCTGTTTACGGAAAACAAGCCTCTGTAGATTTAACTCTTACATTATTAAATAAAATTTCCTTAATATTTATTTTTAGATACCGTGGTATTGTGACAGTCAAAGAGTAACAAACATGAATACATCAGGAAATTGTCCATAATATTAACAATTAAAAAAATAAAATGCTGCGACTTGCTGCCCATTTTCATATCACTTGTCTTTTTCGTTCATTTGCAGTAACATCTGAAGCTTATTTGCTTGTGAGGACATAGTATGTAAAAATAGATGTGAAGAAATAAGAAAGTTTTATTTAACAACGTAAAAGAGTTAAATCTACAGAGGCTTATTTTCGCTAAACAGGAAATGACATCACAATTTTTAATGTTTTATAAGGTTTAAACATGAGGAATGATAATAATAATAATGAAGTAAAATAATAAAGTTACACATGAAATTAACTAAACCAAACCAAAACTCGGAAGGTTCGAACCTACACCTTCTAGCTCCAGTATCTAGCATCTTATTCACTCGGCTATCACCATTCTGGGACTTAAAAATTCAAAGACTTATAAGCCAAACACTAAATTTTCAGAGCCAATTTTTGGAAATACAGTACTTGAGAAGTGGGTCCTATTATTTGGATGACAAGTTGTTTAAGGCTACATGCTCACCAAGTTTCGTTCAAATTGGAGACCCGAACATCTGGTCTTCTCCTTGTTAGCAATAGGAATCATTTTGGAATATTTTTTAATGAATAATTCCGAATAACACATTTGATTACAATGTTTAAACATTATTTCGTAGTAATAACTGTCCACAAAAAACTTTTATCAGTGTTGTGTTTGTTACAATATCCACTAACGTTTTCGACCTCCACCGAGGTCTTCTTCAGGTGCTGACTAAGCGTTGTCTCCCCTTGACTGTTAGAACGATGTCATCCGAGTTGTAAATATTGCATGTATCATGTTTCACCCCTCCGCTTGTCCATGTTTGAATTCCACGAATAGATATCTCCACGCCTGCGCGATCATCTCTCCATCTTTAAAGTTGATGCAGGTACCCCAAACATTGGCTTTATAGATCTCCCAGGCCTCCAGGTGATGGATGTGATCAATTTAAAATGCCTGTCTGATTAATTTGGTGTTCAGGAAGTCCGCCCAAATTTCAGGGTCGCTAACGTACGCCGTCAAGACAGTGGTGTGCCTGTTATTTTTAATGTCTGATTGATGCTCGCGTAACCATTTTTGTGTTGAGCACACAGTAGAACAGATATAAACTAAGTTTCTTTGGAATCTATTGTCCCTGATGGGAATGGAGTATACTCCTGGGGCTCTGTTGAGATTTATCGCGTCTTTAACATTGCACAGCAGGTCGTAAATAGTGCAGGTTCTCCTGTACACAATCTTTGTGTGATTATGGCTAGCAATCTCCCTGTATAGGGGGTCCAAATGTTGGTTGAACTGGACCCCCTATACAGGGAGATTGCTAGCCATAATCACACAAAGATTGCGTACAGGAGAACCTGCACTATTTACGACCTGTTATGTTGTACACTTTTGTAATATTTAGTGTGAAACTATTTTTCTCTATGTATCTATGTATTATATGGGCTACTGTCCACTGTCTGGCATAGTCAGGGGGCTAGCACTGCTGCATGGGGGAAGATGGTTGGCGCAGGCATGGGCCAAACTGCGAATCATGCCCTTACTGTAGCCATGCTCAACCACAATTTTTTCTATGCAGCGAAACTCTGTCAGGGTGCTGCATTCATTTGTGTGATGCATGAAGGCCCGTCTGGTTAGGAGCCGGAAGGGTGCGATTTTGTAAATGAAAGGATCAGATGAGTTAGCAGGGATGAAGAGTGGAACTTGATCCGGATTGCGGTAAATGCTCGTTTCTATCTTTCCACCCTTGAGACGTATGTCAACATCTAGGAAAAGTGCATGCGAGTTACTAAATTGATCCAAGCCAAGGGTGAGGGCGTAATCATTGTCATTCATGCACGACAAAAACTCGTCAAGATTCAGTTTGGTTTTCCAAAGTATAAAGATGTTGTCCATGTATCTTTGGTATAGACTGATGCACGGTAAGAATTTGGGTAGTACCCTCCTCTCCAACTGTCTTATTACCAGCTTGCTAAGGTCCCCTGATAGTGGGCTGCACATAGGCACACCCCATCTCTAAGTAAGTGGTGTTGTTGAACTGGAAAACCGAGGTGTAGCACGAGATGTGCCAGCTCTAAAATGTGATACGCACAATATTTACAACTCAGATGACATCATTCTAACAGTCAAGGGAAAACAGTGCTTAGTCAGCACCTGAAGAAGACCTCGGTGAAGGTCAAAAATGTTAGTGGATATTGTAACGAACACAACACTGATAAAGATTTTTTGTGGACAGTTATTACTCAACACAGTGTTACAGTTAGAAGACATTTTGTATTATTTCATAGATTCTATCATGTTAAAATTTGTTTTAGTCTAATGAAAAAAGATCAAAGTGAAAAAAGTCATCCCAAAAAATTCCAAAATTTCTGTCAGTCAATAAAAATCCAAATCTGGAAACTCTGGGCAGCATTGCACAAAGATGCTTTCAGTTCTCGATGTCAATTCCTACTTTTCTTCCCAAACTTGCCATGTGATGTCATGAAATCACTAGATGTGTGGTGCATAAGACTCCCATTGTATGGAAGCTTGACATTTTGCAGTTTTTTCTGAATTGTGATTCAATTTCATGCTGAATGTCAAAATAAGCAGGCCAGGATTTTATTACCACTTGTTATTGCCAGTATTATATTTTCATTGTCACTTTAATAAAAATATAGTGAAGTGACGATTTTGGCACTATGCAGAATGAACCATGGCATCCCACATGGTATATGCAAACAATGTGTGTGGAAGCATCCTCTGATGTGTTACGTTTGAATAACCCAGTATAATCACAAATAAATTTAATTTTTTTATTACATTAAATAAAAAGTAATCAGTTAAATGTGAAGCATTAGCAATAAAACATCTGTCATCATTAAAGCATTTCTTTGAATTATAATTTTTAATGGTAAATCAATGTGTTTCTCAACTGCTGGTCTGCAGAGAATGGTTGAGATGACACTATATTTTGGCAAAAGAAAACAATTCACTAGTTTATTAAAACTTAAATAGTGCTTTTCCCAATTAAATTAACTAAAAATTATTATTTAATTCTCTAATCATATTTTATTTAAATAATTTTACATATTTTTCTATACAAAATTTAATTTAAAGTTCATTAATTATTTTAAAAATAAAGTAATACAATTATTAATTAAATAAAATTTGATTGTATGGACTGTTTTAAAGATATAAATTTTAGATTGTTCTATCTAAAATTTATTAATAATTAAACTCATTAAAATTTGTTAAGTAAATTAAGTAAATCAGTTAGTTTGTTTTATAGTAGAACTTTAGTAGAAATTAGTGAAATACTTAATTTTTTTTCCAAATCATTTTCAAGAATTTTAGATAAAACTACAGGTATCCCTTGTATAACATGTAGTTACATTCAGAAAAATTGCAGTGTTATGCAAATCCATGCTATACAAAACAAGGTCTAATGCAAAACACAAGGTTAGGTTCCAAAAGTTAGTAAAAATACACTATTCTTTTCTGTCACTGAGAGAAATATGTTTATTAAAGCAACCGATAATTTTATTTTCAATGAATAATTAACTAACAATCACAATTAAAAGTACTGTATTACACATTAATATTAATTTTAGTTAAACATTGAGTGTTTTCTTTTTACAAAGTATCGTCATCATCTCTGCTTTTTTGTTGATCTTGACCAGAAGTATCAGCAATTTTCATATTTTTTTTATTTTTATCATAAAAAATTTTTATGGATGACAAAGTAAAAATAAAAATATGTTATTAATTGAAAATTTGTTCTAGCGGATTGAGTTTGTTCAGTCGAGTACTGAGTGACATTTTTTCAGAATTTATGTTCAAATACTAAACTGTTTGAGCACCGAGATATCATCGTACTTCATTTGTCATTTTTATCAATGATTACTTAGCTACAGTTAAAAAAGTTTAATAACACTCACCTAAAAATGTTTAAACAAACTTTACTAAATATGAAGTTTAATCTATAAAAACAAAACACAGTGACAGTCTTAAGGGCTAAAGTCTGAAAGCAACAACAATGACACATGGTTAATAGGAAAGCTAGGATAAGAAAGAAAAAAATTGTAGTCAGTTTTCATTAAAGTAAAGTTGAAAAAATAATTTGAACATTCTAAAATCTGTAGGCAAATTTGAGATGGTATGTATGCTTACTTGAATTAAAAAAATATTGAATAATGAAGTTTATATTTAAAAGTTGTAAAATTTTGTACAGAGGATTTTGAAAAGCGTTAGAGTGAAACCAAAAGTCGTGTTCTATGGGGATATCCCCAATTTTCAAACCATGTTGTACAAGGGATACCTATACAGAATGTTATGTTAAACAACAAAACAAGTTTCTAATTCAAAAAATATGGCATAAAATTTTATGATGAAAATTAACAGAATATAAGAAATATTAGAAATTATTAAAATTCTTCATAAGAAATAAATTTACATTATTTCTTATATTAAAAATTGTGAAACTAATTTTTTTTAAGGTTTAAAAACAAGACGGTCTCACTAATCTAAAGCAACCGTCACACAAATTGGTTTGGATTGGCAGAGAGTTTAGATTAGCAGAGTTAAGGCCTATTTATAGTGCAATAGCAGCATTGAGCTTCAAGATAGAAGCTCAATGCTGCTATAGAATTAGATGAATTAGTATTATGGTTCTTAGTTACATGACAGTTGCATCTAACTTGGTGCAGCAATGTGCTGATGTCAAATATCAAAGCCAAACATTGTTCACAACTTTAGAGCTGACCTACAGTTCTTAACACAAACTAGAAAGATGGTAGTTGAATAAATTAAGTACTTAATAGAAAAATTCCTATCCCAAATTAATAAATATCCAAATGCCTTCAATATAATAAGATTTTATTATATTGAAATATCAAAGCTCATATACTTGAGGGGGCCACTGAAGGAGCCAAAAACATTAGTATTATTAAAAAAATAACTGCTGGAAAAAGTGTTAAAGCGTTAGATAATTATCAAATTTTATTATAAAGATATGATAAAAAATGCAGATATATTAGGAAAAAGTTAGATTAAATATCGCTAGTGATCAAGTTATAATAAATACAACAAATCCAATAATTACTTCAAATATCAAATGAACAACCAGATTCTTTATGGGCTACTAAAGGCTAAATAATTAAAGGACTAGCTGTTTTCTTAATATTTGAACTAAGAATCAAGTTTTTTTACGTACCAAACAATAAAAAAAAGTTATTTTATTTCATTTTTCTTCTTAAATTAGTTATATTAGCAAAAGGAAAAGTCTCTGTAACAGATTTAACAAAACTAAGAATATGTAGTGGTGGGATTACATAGCATTAAGCAATATGTGGATTATGAGCTCTGTTCAAAAAATACACAGACTGAATTGCGCAGCTCCAGTTGGTTCCAGGGGAATCCGCTTGGTGTCACTAGGTTTGTACATATCATATGGTGATAAAGACGTTTCCCGATTACAGATATCTTTATTTGTTGATTAGCTATGCGGTTTTTAGTGAAGTGCAATTTTTTTGTTTGTTGGATTTCAGAATAAATGACCTGATGGAGCAACAACTTGCTGTGAAATTTTTGTGTTAAACTTGGAAAATCTGTGACTGAAACATTTGCTATGTTCAATGCAGCTTACGGTGATGTTGCTATGAAGCGTACAGCATGTTTCAAGTGGCATGAACGTTTTAAGGATGGTTGACAATTGATTGACGACGATGAGCATCCTGGACATCCTTCCATGTCAACTGACGACCCACATGTTGAAAAAATAAACACCCTGGTGCAGGCATATCGACATCTGACCATCAGGGAGCTTGCTGATGACTGTGGGATATCAGTTAGATCTTGTTACGAAATTTTGACCGAAAAATTGAAGACGCACCACATTGCTGCGAAATTTGTGCCAAGCCTGATGACGGACGACCAAAAAGCCAATCGTGTCCAGGTTTGTCAGGAACTGCTTGATTGTTCAGAAAAAGATGAAAACTTCTTGTCAAGGACCATAACAGGTGATGAATCATGGGTTTACGATTATGACATTGAAACGAATGCCCAATCATCCCAGTGGGTGGGTAAAACATCCCCAGACCCAAAAAAGCTCGCCAAGTTCGATCCAATGTCAAGGTGATGCTGAGAGTTTTCTTTGATGCTAAGGGAGTTGTTCACCATGAGTACATCCCCAAGACTCCACAGTGAACCAGACTTACTACATTGAAGTTCTGAAATGTCTGAGGGACGCCATCCATTGCAAAAGGCCAGAAATGTGGAGGAGTGGCGACTGGTTTCTCTGTCACGACAATGCTTCAGCCCTCAGAACTCATGATTTTTTTGGCCAAACACTCGATCACTGTTCTTCCCCACCCCCCTACTTCACCTGACCTTGCTCCTTGTGACTTTTTCTTGTACTCCAAACTCAAAAGACTCTTGAAAGGAAGAAGATTTGAGATGATTCCTGAGATTAAGGCAAATGTGATGAAGGCACTGAAGGACATTACAAAAGAAGCATACCAGGACTGTTTCAACAAGTGGAAACACCGTTGGGATAAGTGTGTGCATTGGGAAGGAGAGTACTTTGAAGGGGACCCAGACATTAACTTCTACATGAAGTACATTTTGTTTTATGACGTCAGTCCGCATATTTTTTGAACAGACCTCGTATAGTTTGATATCTAGAGAAGTGGTAGCATAATAAATGTAAGAGAACTCCATGATCATCATTACCACAGCACCACGCTGCTTTTAGACCATAATGTGGTCTTTAAACGTAAAGAGCTGGAAATATATTTATGTTAGAATGTATAATAAACATTAATTTTATAAACTTTTTATATTTTTAATAAATAATCTATGATTTCTTTTGTTTTTGGCTGGAACATTTAGCAGAAAAATTAATAAAATTGATTTTTGATTAAGTGGAGTTCAAATCAGTGAGTATGCATTGCATATAAGACTAAAAATACAATTACTAAATACTAATTACATAAAATTATATTAAATTAAATTATTTCAAAATTTCATTTTAAAAAAATTTAAATAAAATTGCATTGTTTAAATTTATACCTTTTTATAACAATTAGTTTCATTACATTAGCATAATTCTCTGTTTTATCAATTAAAATGATATATTTAATTCAATATGATTAGATATAAAAATAATAAAAAGGCTTACTTCTAACTTCTTGACAAATACGAGATATTCCAAATATTTTATAAGTGCTACGGGAAATCGGTGAAAATAATCAACAATTAATTCTGGTCTCATTCTTTCCGACGGCAATTCATTTTCGGGACGATTTGTAAAAATCTAAAATTATAATTTAAATTGAATATCTAATATTACAATGTAAATAATATTATTAATAAATGAATATATCTAGTCAACAATATCATATTAAAACTGTAAGAGAAATGATATTACTGTTGGTCCTCAACGTAACAGATTGAGTGTGATTGTCCGATAATGCCAAACTGTCCATTATACTGAAAGATATCATCACAAACTAAAAATGAACTTTATATAAGACATGATAAGAGAAACCACATATATTGTGATAAATACGAGGAAAAAAAAATCACAATACCTCTATATATGGTATATAAATAATAGTTTCACCAACACACTGTTTACTGGATAATGTATAACAACAGTTAGTCACAATCTGATATGCCCAAATATCATGTTTCCACTCTAAATGATCAATCTCGAGCCATTCATATGCCATGAAACATCCTCAAGATGTTTGCATTGTGACATAGCTCAAGACCAAGTGAAATCTCAGAACTATTAGATATGGATCATCATTTCTAAAATCTGCTACAATGAGGTCCATAAAATTACGAATCAGCAGGATTTCATGTTACAATTGAGTTTTCTTACTAACATCAGCTAAAGTCTGCTGTTTACTTCTACTTAATATTTTGTTTAAAAAATTGGATACGACAATAATAATTTTTATTAAAAATCATTTAAATTATTATTGGATTCAGTTACATTCACAGTAACTTGGAAAGTATACTTTGTATGATAAATCTTTAATGACAGTAACTACTGAAATTACCTAAAAAAATAATCATTGGTGTCCAAAAATAAGCATAATCATCAGATCTGTAGTTACTACAAAAATTAACATAACTAATAACAATGTGTATGTAGGGTTACTATACATGTACAAAAATCAGTATTCATTTGAAAATTACAAAAATTAGGTTATTGGTAGTCTGAAAGCAGGTCAGTCACAGATGAAGGCATCAGTGCACTGAATGCACCACAAATAGCATCAAATCGAAGGACCTAAACGATAGGAAATATACACTAAACAAGAAATGAATGGCCAAAGAGTTAATCTCTCAGCAGGATCATTGTTTGACATTAGCTGCATGTTGTAATGGGAATCTGGAAGATAACTCTGCAGAGATGTCAATGGAATCAGGAATGAATCTCTATATTAGTTTGTGTCCCATTGGCAATCTATGCAAAGAAAACTCAATTATGATGAGATCAAGAACATTGAAATTGGATTATAAATTAATGTTTTGTACACTGACAAGTTTTAAAATACTGATTCTCATCAGACTACAATACGGAGAGTGGAAATTCACCACAATCTGTCAGGAAAGAGAGAAATTAGCAGTAGTAGTTTGTAGTATGGGAAGGCAGTACTGTCATCAAATGCATAGGGTTCCATGTTTTTTCGCAGGTATCAATCATTACAGGAAGAAGGTACAAGGATAAGATCCTGCAACCCTACAAGACTATTCAGAGGCATCATAAAGCCAAACTTACTTTTTTATGAACAATAATGCTTGGGCTTATAGGGTCAAGTTTCTTGCAAATGAAGATATCTATTGTATGGAATGGCCAGCAAGTTATCCAACCCTGAATTCAATTAAGCATTTGTATAATACTCTAGGGAGATGAGATATCTCATCAGCCTTCACCAAGAACCCTTTGGAAGCTCTACACTGCTCTTCAAGAGTGGACCATGTTTCTGACAGAGAAAAAAAAGACAACCTGATAACCAGTGTGACTGATTGCTATGCAACATGCACTTACAAAATGCAACCACACACCATATTAACCATTTTATAGCATTAAAATAATTATAATTCTTTTGGTGTATTCTATTATTTTTCTTGTTTTGCATAATTAAGTCATATTTATCAATTTAATGGTTTTATTTATCAAAGGACATATTGTTTTTATGCAGGTATCATTTTATTAACTACTAAAGATGGTGATTGAGGGACTGGTGGAGGGGACAAGACCTAGAGGAAGACCCCGAAAGACTTGGAGAGATAACATCAAAGACTGGACTGGAAAGGATTTAAGAGAAGCCTGGAATAGAGAAACATGGAGTGGAATAATTCATCAAATGTAACCCTCTGTAGAGAGGATGCCACTGGATAGATAGATAGATCATTTTATGTTGTTCAGCATTCTTAATAGTTTGAACTATTGGTTGATATAATGTTTACACTTACTTTTTGAACACAAGTATAAGTTATTATTAATGAATAAAAGATTTACATTTTATTATTGAACGTATTCTAATTTTTTTATGATATATGATTATAAATATAATTGTAAATGATGTGTGGTTCATTTCACAAATCTTGATCAAGCTGTAAAAATGAACAGTAGCAGACACCAGTCTATTTACTTAATGAGAGTCACAAACTGATAAATCACTGACAAGGTCACCGTGTTACAAAAAAAAGAACTCTTGGACTTTTAAATTTTCCATAGTTTCAACAGCAAATCATCCAGCCAAGTTGTGTGAAATGATCCATATTCACAAATAGAATATACATAAAACAAAATTTTTCTAAGTTTTGTGCTTTTCATCACTAACATTTAATTTCAAATATTTAAAAAATTATAATTTTATAAATACCTTTACTCCAAGTTCTTCATTTTTCTCAAGTACAAAATCCACGTATTTCCACACTAAGTGATAATCACTTAGTCTGAAATTTTAATATAAAAATATAAAATAAAATTATTTATGCCAAAAATAAACATGTTTTACATCAAATATGTTGCTAACTTAATCAATTATTATAAAATCACATTTTCAGATAAGGGAAAACCTAAAGAATTATGATATATATATATATACAGTAAAGCGTCGATTTTCCGAATCAATTGGGGACTGGGGTTGTCCGGATAACTGATTTACGTACGAAAAAATAGTTTAACGTATCCGATGTCAAAATTTTTCTCCGTTGCGTGTCGCTTCGCGTTGAATTTTCGTCGATGTTAAGCCTAACGAAGACTATTGTATCGTTAAAAATTATTTTTTTATTTTGTACAAACAAAATAAATATATTGAAAAATATAAAAATAATAAAAAATTATACTTCAGATGTTAATTTAGTATCAAAAACGTAAAATATTTGAGTAGCCCAAGACATAGCCAAAGATTGAAGCGCCACAGCACTGGCGAAAATTTAAATTTGCCGACTGAAATTCTTTCGGATGATTGACTTTCGGAAAATCGACGATCTACTGTATATAAACATAAACTAAAACATTAAAGGTAATTGCTACAATATAGTTAATGCAAATGTGATATTATTAAATTATAATCAAAGAAGTTAATATAATGCCGTAACATTATTTAACCTCCAAAATTTATCACCGAAATCTTCCAATTGAAAATATTTTAATATTTATTGCTTTAAAATAACCACTATTAAAATCACAAAGAAACCAATTTAAATGCCTTTATTTTTTGAATGAAGATTAACTAATGAAGATTGCATTATCCAACATGAATTATGAAAGAGTATTTTATCAATAAGTCAAGAGAATGTAATACAATACAGTACAGTACTTTACAAAAATTTTGGTTTAGTGAGGAGCACACTCAAAATGGACTCTAGAAATTTAAAAAGAATTTATTCTCAGACTTCTCATAACAGTACAAATTGTAAAAAGTTACATGTTTTATTGTTTAATTTAAAAGTATATTCAAAAAGTAGGTTTAACCTGAAAATAGTGCACAGCCTAAATGTCAATACATCCAAGTCCAGCTGCTTTAATAATTTGCTAAAAATTCTACATTATCCAAAATATCCTCAGTCTATGCAACCTTGGATAATCCAAACTCTATTGTGTATATAAAGTTAAATTCTCAATGAGAATTCACAATGATATATATAGCAGCCAACATGCCTGGCAATGCTTGGATGTTTTTATGAAAATATAAAGTAGTTCAAAAACTGTTCAAAAAGCTTTTCTATGTCAAACAATTTAGTATTACGTGTTACGAAACAAAATATTTTTCTTGCACAAGCAGGGTGATTCGAACTGTGTTGAACTATCTTACAATTCTACCAACAATATCTTTGACAAACCCTAAAGCTATGTAGAAATTATAACAAAATAATCTTAATGTTAGATTGAATTACTTCAATTATTTTTTTGAATCTAAAACTTATAAATCTGTCACTAAGATCACTCATTGACAATAAAACTCATTCCACTTTAAATCTGGAAAAATTTCTTACATCTTATTTAAGCAATTTCCTTTATTCATCACATCACAGTCTCATTACATATAGGTAGATTATTTATTTAAAATCACTTCCAACCTCATTTCCAGGGCAAATATACAAACAAAAATTGAAAATTCATGCTGCTTTTCCTTCTTCAAGAGTTCATTACATATATCAAGAGGTTTTCCTCTTAGAATTTCACCTATTAAAGCAACCAGTTTTTGACACTGTTACAACTCCTATTGTATGTAAAAAAATTACTTTTCTTATGCTATAAAATTTATTTGCCAAAAACAGCAATCCAATAGATTCACTCCATGCTACTTTCCTAGCCAAAATGATTATGACCCAATTTGATCATATAATATTTTCTTTAATTTTAGTGTTCTATACCTTATCCTATTTTGGATATAAGCATGTAAATGATATTTATTAGGCAGAGATTACAGTATAATAGATTTCATATAATTTCTGTGAGGTTATGACAATGCTGCCAATCAGAACTGGTGATGCAGTGAGCTAATCATGCAATAAACATAACTAATTCACAACATGGCTGCTGTCTGTATTTACAACCAAGGGTCAATAAGTTAGAATTAAAAGATAACCAATAAGTGTTCATGTACCAAAAGTCCAGTAAATGGCCATTGGATAATTTCTTACTCTTAACTCTTGATTCTTAGATTATTAACATGGCTGTAAGCATAACCTGCAACATAATCACACTCTTTACACTGTTTCTTATGAGTTCTGCTTTAGTTTTATTACCTGATATATATTCATATACAAAATATTTATTAGTTCTTAAAAAATCTTTAATAATTTTCAACAACTTACTTTGATAAAAATTCTACAAAATATTCTAATCCAGGAAAATCTTCATCATAAATTTCGCCAAGAATAAGCCTAAAAAATAAAATATTTATTTAATGTTTTTAAATGTAAATCATATTACATCTTCATTTAACATGATTCATATTATTATATAATTAAATTTTCATGTAATAAAACCATTAAATTATATTCAAGACATAAGATTTAAATAAGAAATTGTTAATTTTCAAAATGTTAACAACATTGCTACTAATATAATTTCAATTCTTGATAATATTAAGTCAATTAATTAACTGTTATATGATTTCAAAATTTGATTTATTTATCAGTACTGCAAAAAGTTAAAACATGACTATTAAAATAGAATAAATATCAATCTTTAATATAGTAATTAATTACTATATTAATTACAATTACAATTAATTACAATTAAAAATTTTTTATTGACTATCTTCAGATTTGAAAATATAGAACAAGAAATGAAATGAGTGGTTACAAAGTAAAATTCATTCATGTGCATAAATTCAATTGAATACATACAGAATGTCTACAAAGTAAGTCCACTTTGAGTTACTTGCAACTCATTGTATGGAGGATATATCCAAATGCATCAAGTGTCACAAGTAATACCATACTATCTGTTTTTTTCAATATAGTTACTGCCATTGTAGATAATAATGTTCGCCACTAGAGGCACTATATGCAAAAGATGGCATTTTCTGGTGCTTAGAAAGAATTTTACATCCTTTAATTCAACAGAAATCAGTATGTACCCAAGTGCAATGTTCTTTTTGGACTGAACAAGGAAAAGAGGCAACCACAAGGAAGTTGATTATGAAATAGCATAATCAATTTATCACAGGTTGTTTGTGTCCACAGAAGACAGGTCATCCACCAGTTCCTCTTGAATGTGTTGAGGCATATCAACGAAGCTCTAATTCGTCATCATGCAGACGTCTTGAGATCTGAAAATGCCATACCAGACAGTAAGAAAGATGTTAAGAAAATGGTTACTAATGTACCAAAAGCCCATGGGCTATGACAGAGAATAATATACAACACTCATTTGAGTTACAGTAATGTAATATCAAAATTGTAAACCTGAACACATTGTGCATCATATGAGTCATAAAACATCATCTAATGCATTATGGTACTTCCGTAATAAATTTTTGAAAACTTACTTTTGGGACTTACTTTATAGATATGTCTTATTTATGTATGAATTATTAATTCTAGTTACTCTTTTAATTTGAATAAAAATGTTCATTCAATTAAATTTACACACAATGCTACGCTTTGAAGCTGCTCATTTTGTATTTTGTTTTGAACTGTATTTCTAAACCTGATAAACACGACTAAAAATGTTTAATTATAATTAATCGCTGGTTTAATGGTTTATGTTTAATTTATTTAAGAAAACTTAATGATAATTTATTTAAATTCCAATAAATATTAAATAAATTGTTTAAATGACTTTACCTTGCCCAAATCTGCAGTGATTTATCATTTTCTTTCAAATTATGATGAAAGATGGCTAATGCATGATATTTTTCACACTGAGTTAAATACTGAATACATTCTTTATTATCACAAACAATTTGTGAATTCCCAACTAAATTAAGAAGATTTGGAGAATTTGTAGCAGCATATAACTTTAATATAGCCGTATCAATCTCCTAGAGAATATTAAAATTACTTTTTAATTTTAAATATGAAATTAAATAATTTGAAAAAAATAATTACGAATTTACAGATACTTACAAATTTGTAATTTACTGCACTTTGTGATAATCTTAATTCTTCTAAGTAGAATAAAAGAAATTCTTTGCACTGATCTATCATGGAAGGATTAGAAGAACACATCTGCTCAATGTTCGCAATTTCATGAAGAGGTGGAACCGAACGTACAAATGATGATGATGATGATGGCAATAAATCAGGATACAAACTTATTAACTATATAAAAATTAAGCACATAATTATAATGTTGTGATATATAATCCAAGTTACTTGTTATATACATTAAAAAATCATTTAAATGTGATATCAGATCAGAAAATCCGACATCACGTTTAAATGTATATGCTTATATGTAATACCTAAAATCACATCAGAAGATTTTTAAGTACATATAAGATAATTCAAATTAAGTTATATATATATATATATTTTTTTTCTTTTTTCAAAAATTGATTTAAATTTGATTAGAAGCCTTCCAGTGATATTTTATACATATAATTTTTAATTTAAAAAATTATTCAAAGTTATTGCATAGACAAAACTGAATTCAAATAGATTTTTCTATAGGGGTTAACATAAAACTGAAAATAATAGCATTAAAAAATAATTACATTTAATGTACATTAGTTAAATAGAATATCATGTTAATTTTATCATCCTTAAATTGTCAAAAAAAAAAAAAAGACAAAATTGTGGCTGAAAATCTTTTTAAATATGATTTTAAAGTACTGTGACTACATATTTTTCTTATATAATCTTTTGAATAATTTTATTTAAATACATTTAAATGGGGGGAAAAACAGTAATATTAACATATTTTACAAATAAAATATTTATAATAATAAAATTAATGTAATATTAATGATTTTGTGATTATTTTGATGGTATAATATACTTGCACTCAAAAAATATGCCCATATTTGGTGTGCACACATCAAGTTACCATTTTCTGTACAAAAAGATTTAAGACAATGCTCAGTACTTTTTTCTTGTTGTTTTTGGCTTGATGTAAGTTAAATTAAATTTATACTTTTCAACTGTTTTGTTCTGAATGGCAGTTCCAGAGATATAGGCCAAATTAATAGTTATGTTTATTTTTCAACCATGAGTTTCTGCATTATACAAAGGGGTGAAAAAGTATGTACATAGTTATTATTCTGGAAAAATATGCAGAAAAAAATAAAGAAGAAAAAACATACATTTTTATGCATAAATTAAATTACAAGTAAAGAATACAACAAAATAATAAAAGATAACAAACATCTGTATTTCTCAGATTCACAACTGTATACCTAATTTTGTACCCCTTGTATTAAGTATTAAATTAAACAAAAATAATACTTCATTCTGTATAAATATACTGTGTTTAAAATAATACATTATTGGAAAAAATTTTCAATATACACGAATTATCCAAAACTGTTTTAAATGTTTAGTTTTTGAATAAATATGCTTACATTTACAAAGTTTTAAAATAAATATGTAAATATTTGTTTTAAAAATACTTCTGCTATTTCACAATTTCATTTGATACTAAAAATTTAATCTACGAGCTGAAGATTAAATTTTATCATAAGTATAAAACTTAAGTACAGTAGAGCATCGATTATCCGACCACCGATAAACCGTCACCTCGGTTAACCGATTGAGTTCTAGTCGGCAAATTCAAACGTCCGCTAGTGATGTGGCGCTATACAACATTTTCTCTATGGTTTGGCTACTTTAATATTATTTTTGTTAAATTTTTGCGTGTTTTAGCTGGAAACACTGGCTCGACCATGAAAGGGAGGCCAGTATCTAAACAAGGCTTAATTTTCTAATTATGAGTGGTTGTTTGTTTTGTGAGCAATAAAATAATTTTTAACGATACAATAGTGACGATTATTATTTAAAAAAAATTTTGTTAGGCTTAACATCAATGAAAATTCAACGCGAAGTAGGTTAATAGCGATATACTAATATACTATACTAATAACGTATTTTTTCATACTTTTCGGTTATCTGTTTTTTCAGTTATCCAACCAATCCCAGTCCCCAATTGAGTCAGATAATCGATGCTCTACTGTACTTTTTAAGATTTACTAATAAATTTATGACTTCTCACCATTTTATACTAAAAAAGTTTTTAAGATAATTAATTATACTGAAAAATTCATTAACAAATATTCTCAATAAGACCAATTAATACAGTGTACAGTGATTCAGGTACAGTGGAACCTCACTTAACAAGTATTTCACATAACAAGCAAAATAAATTGTAAAAATTTGACTCGCTTAATGAGCAATGTTTCACATAATGAGTGACAAGGATAGGGGAAATCCTAGATTGTGCGCATGCTCCATCAGTCTGTTTAGCACTTGTTCTGTTAGCATCTTAGTGTCGCTCATAATCACACATTTTTTCAAATGTGTGTTCACACATATTACGTATAAACATTGACAATCATAGCTCATTATATAATGAACACACCACCTTGTACTAAATTTAATGACCAATTCCAAATTAAATTTTAGAAATGTCTAAATTAAAAATTAACTATTTATAATTATTAAATTTAATATAAGAAGGCAGCATAACTGCTTACCTCTAATCAAATTAATTAATTTCTAATATTTAATTATAGCCTTTACATAGCCCAAGAATTCAACATATTGTTTGGAGTCTTCATCAGACATATTATCTGAGAATTTTTTGTTTTCTGCAAATTGAATTCGCATTTCAGGTTGGTTCATTCTGTGCTAGAAGAAAAGTTAATGATGATTCATGCTTCTTAACAATCTATATTGTGTAATTTTCTTTGATTAAACATTATACATAAAATATTTGAGTATTTTTTCAGCATGGAACGCATTATCGTATTTTATGTTAATTTCTATGAGAAAAACTGTTTCGCTTAACAAGTGTTTCACATTACGAGTAAGATTCTGGAACAAATTTTGCTTGTTAAGCGAGGTTCCACTGTAAAAGAATGAATATGCATTGAAAAGAACAACTTTTAATAAAAGAAATTACATCAAATGACATACAAAACAACAAAACATTTTCAATATTTATAAAATAAAAATTAAACATAAATTATTTAAATAATATAAGACTATATTCTTACATGATGTTGTTAAATTGGTCTTATTGAGAATATTTGCTATAGCTTCTTTCAATTTAATTAATTAATTTTTTTTTTATATTTTAATATCACAAGATAATTATAAATCAAATTTTAATAATTATATCTCTATCACAGCATCCAAGTCTCAGATATTTAATAACAAATAAAATTGTTATTCTAAAGACTGCAATATTGTATATATTATGAATTAATTTCAAACTTACTTCTCTAACATCCAAGCAGCCCAGCTGAAAATATTCTTTTGCTTTACTAAAATGGAATAAGGAAAATTCTATAAATCCTGCTTGTTGTCTTATCCTCTGCATGACCTATAAGGAAAATATCTTGTAAGATTAATATCTTGAAGCATAAATTTTGTATAATCACTTTACATTTGTATAACTCTTATTTACGTTTTAACGAGTACATGAGATTAATGTTAACTGCTTGCGTCATAGTTTAAAAATTAAGGTAATTTAACTTTCTATAGCAATATATGCAGTGGATAATAATATATATAAAAAAATGTAATTATAAATAAAGTATTATAATATAAAAATAAAATCAGTACTTGTTTGCATTGTTCTTTTGAAAGACCAGATTTATTAGCATATTCAGCAAGTTCCAAGGCTTCCGATACTTTTTTGTCTGCTATTAGAGCTTGCACCTAAAAATATTCTATTCTTTACTTTCAAATAAATAGTTATATATATATATAATATAACCTTATATTTTCTCTTGAGAATTTAAATTGAAATATTTAATAAGCAATACAATTAAATAAAACTTAATACAGAAAAATAAAATACACAAAGAAATAGTTTTACTTTAACTTGTTTGCTGTGATTTGTTTAATAGATACTTTTCCTGTATTTTTGTTTTTTTCTAATTACATATTTAATTCAAATTAAATTTTTGACAAAAGACACAGCAGCTTTTTTGCATTTCTTGACGTTTCAAAGTCTCAGTCCAAAAATGTAAAAATTTTGAGTCAGTTTTTTGACTAATTGCCATACTTTACCTGTTATACGTAACAGCCAGGAAAGTAAAAATGACACAAAAGTCATTAACAGAGAATGATCAGAGAACAGAACAGGAAAATGTAGAAAATTCTGAATTTGTGCAAAGGGATTAACAAGAAACAACAAATTTTGGAATTAGAATACTGCATGTTCAGATTACGTAAACAATAAGCAATTGCAATTTTGGTATTTTCTTCATTATAACAATCAAAAATAGTTATTTAGCCTAATTAATCTATATATATAAAATTGCTTGTCCTGACTGACTGAATGACTCACTGATTCATCATCGCCCAGAGCAAACTGCTGAACCCAAAGAGGTGAAAGTTGGTACACAGTTAGGGTATATCATGAAAATGCACACTAAGAAGGGATTTTTCTAAATTCCCCAGTGGGGGGAAAGGGAGAGCATTAAGGCTTAACCGGAAGAACGGCTTCTACTGTACTATTTTAGATGCAATTTTTTTGTTTTTATCTGCGTTGTAGTAGGGTATGCCATGAGAATGCACACTAAGAAGGAATTTTTAGAAATTCCCCCGTGGGAGAGAGGGAAAGCATTAAGGCTTAACTGGAAGAACGGCTTCTACTGTACTATTTTAGATGCGATTTTTTGTTCTTATCTGCGTACCGTGTTTCCCCGAAAATAAGACAGTGTCTTATATTAAATTTTGCTCTGAAAAATGCGCTAGGTCTTATTTTCAGGGAATGTCTTATTTTTTCCGTGAAGAAGCATTCACATTTATTATTAAACAAAAAAATTCCCAAGTCGAACTTAGACGAGAGTGATGTATATCCGGTGTGTCGAACTGTTGCCTTTTCATAGCGTCAATATCGGACTCGATGACCAATTAGTGCTTACTGAACCGTAGCACTATGCAAATGTCATGTGGCGTGATTCCCGGCCAACCAATTAGCCATCACCAGCCGTAACGTTATGCAAATCTAAGCCATAGTCTTATGCAAATCATGTTGTGTGACGTAATTGTCTGCTGACCAATCAGTGGCTGTACTTTCAAAAAGCCAACGGCCACTTTCAACCATCTGTCGATGATCGTTATGACTAAAAAAAAACTTCGCTAGGTCTTACTTTCAGGGGGAGGTCTTATATTTCGCAATTCAGCAAAATCTATGCTAGGTCTTATTTTCTGCGGATGTCTTATTTTCGGGGAAACACGGTAGTAGTAGGGTATGCCATGGGAATGCACACTAAGAAGGAATTTTTAGAAATTCCCCCGTGGGGGAGAGGGAGAGCATTAAGGCTTAACTGGAAGAACAGCTTATACTGTACTATTTTAGATGTGATTTTTTGTTCTTATCTACGTAGTAGTAGGGTATGCAATGGTAATGCACACTAAGAAGGGATTTTTCGAAATTCCTCCTCGGGGGAGAGGATTTAGTCTTCATCGAGTACTTAGGTGTATTAAATTAATAACATTTCAGACATTGTTATAAATATTTTTATCTAATTTAATTTTAAAAATGTTCGAATCATTTTAAATTCGAATTTGTTATTGCATATTGGTTCGATTATAGAACGATTGTAAACATTCCAGAAAGTTGATCAAATTGAAAATAGTTTGTTTGATTCTCGGCAATTCTCATCATTCTCAGTGGTAGGAGTTATATAACAATTACTATGGTTGTTGAAATACTGAATATAAATGGGATTTGCTTGCAAAATCCTCACAGACGAAGTCGTGGGTAACAGCTAGTAACAAAATAAATTTTATTGGGCTGCAATTTGAAAAAAATTGTAAACCTATAAATTCCCACTGTCATCCATCACTTCATCTGTCTTTCCTTAACAGAGCTAGATAGATGAAAGACAAGACTGGATATGGATACTTTAGGGGCAGGAGGTCCCGATTAACTATATGTGAACTTCCGATGCAAACTGGAAGTCATGTTATTTCAATTCAAAAATTCCCCCGAAAGATGTTAGATAGATGACTGGCAACTCTATTCTAACAAAAAAAAGTAAAACTGCTAATTTAAAGGTGGGATTTTAATTTAAATTAAATAAATTTAAAAAATATGATTAAGAATTGCAGCCCAACCATGTCACAATAAATAATTGCTCATGTTTATTATATTATTTAAATTACTTATATGTAGAAAGTAAGAATATAGTCATAGTAAGTAAGTAATTGGCTAACCTGTTTTTCCCACGGTACAGGAATGAGAGCACAAATAATATCAGCCGAAGATACATATAATTTTCCATCAAAATTATCCATACAGATTCCACCTCTAAATGCTACCCTCTGTTTCTGCTCATGATTAACAATACTGAAACAGAAAAATATTGCTACAGATACTTAATTTTTTAAATAAGCATTTAATAATTTTCAATAATAATCAGTTTTTTTTGAAGTTTAATATTTTATTTAGAGTTACAAATATTAATGTAATGGTAGAAGCATTCATAAAAATCAAATAATTAACAGCATCTATAGAAAATTATCTCTCTCTTAGTATGTGGATATATGCTGATCTTAATTTTCCTAATTAATCAGTTCTAAAACTGCTAATTATTGTCTTCTTTTACAGTATTATTTTTGATCTTATTGCATCCTATTTCTTGTAATAAGTATATCAGTTGGCTTTAATAAGGTTTATTCAATCAAAATACATTTAAATCTATAAAAAAAATAAATAATATCAGGGGTCACTCCGGAAAATTTTAAAAGAAATCACCAACCATTTTGCCAGTTTTAAATATTAATTAATGCAGGTGCTGGTAGCTTTATCAGTTTGAAGTCTGGAAAGCAGAACTAGCAGGTTAAGCTTATAAAATAAAAATATAACGAAGAATACAAAAGATTTTGTCTTCACAATCTGTCGCTTCAGTCATCAATAACAAAGAAAAAAAAACCACACAAATTGTTGCTTATAGCAACGCCCCTAAAATTTTCTGTTGGTTAATAAAAATTTCCCAATACAGAAATGCTGAGCAGCATTGCACAAAAAACTCCTTTGGTTCTTGATGTCAATTCCTGCTATCCTGACTGAACCCCCGCGCAGCATTACAATGTTGCTAATGTGTGGTGGATGGGATTCCTGTTGTATGATAGCTCAGACATTGCATTCATCTGTTTTTCCTGAAGCATGCAATGTGATTCAATTCAAGCCAAATGCTGAAATAAGCAGACTAGGATTTTTAATTGCCACTTTAATAAAAATATTGGAAAGTGGTGATTTTAGTGTTTTACGACTCCTATAATATATATTAAGCCAAACAATTGCCAGATCAAATTGGGCTATATTACTGCTAATATTAATAATTAAATATTAAGTAATTTCACCTAGAGGTAAACATTAGGTTGCATCTCTTATTAGATTAATATTTAATTAATTATTTATAAGGTTCTGGAATAAAAGAATTGGCCCTAATCAATCAATAATAATTGATTTAATGTAGCAATTGTTTGGCTTTAATATAACTATTGGGATTACAAATGTTTATATTTGTAATAGTATATGCAATAGGCAGTTTGCATGTTGGTATTTTACATTATAAAATGCTTGATTGTAATCTTACAAACAGTTATAACTGAAAATACAATATTGAATTCTACTGATATGATCCAATACTGATAATTTTCCAACTAATCTGATCCTTGCTTTTATCCATACTCTATAGGTGTTGATGATAAGTATAAGGCTGAAAGCTCATTGGCTTAGAGCAGCGTTTCTCAAAGAGGGCGATAACGTGCCCTTTTGGACACTGGAGGCTTTCAGGGGGGCAGTAGAAGGCTCAAAGAAAATTAGGGGTTGTTAAGGAAATCTAGAGGGACAACGGCAGACAAATTCTATCTATAAAAATTCAATGGAATATATATAAAATGCTGACATTTTATACATTTTTTTTTATATTGAAGGTCACAACTTGAATATTTCTAACATGTTGACTTATAGCTGAATACACTTATTATAGCATGAATATGCTAAATAAGAAATAAAAAATTATCAGGTAAAAATTAATTAAGGAAAAAATCATTCATTAAAAATATTTAAGTTGACAAAAACACCACCTGGACAAAAATACGTAAAACAGACAACAAACAAGACGATTTAAACAATGCGATTTCTACAACCCTGCATAAACTAACATGATTATATTACTTATTCTAACTTGCTCAGTATGAATTCGGTTACTCACATGAGATAAACAAGTGGTTGCAAGTTTATTTTGTTCCTGTCAGTGCATGTTACATTTCCAATCTATATAAAGGCAGTGATTGTTTATTTTCATTAGCATTTTAATGCATATCACAGCATCATATCAGTAGCAGGTTTTCAAGCGAATATTTTACTCACACCTAAACTATGTCGGAAGCAAAGAATAAGAGACAACAGTACAGTGTGGACTATATTAAATACGGATTTATCGAAAAACCTACAAATCCGTCATCACCAATGTGCCTTATTTGCCAAAAAAACATTTTTGAGTGAAGCTATGAAGCCATCTAGGCTACAAGATCATTTAAATAAAGTGCACTCAGATAAGAAAGACAAACATGTGACCTATTTTAAAGACCTGTAAAAGAAGTACACAGTTCAGCCAACTATATCGAAACTTTTTTCAGCAGCTTATAAGCATGAGCAAGACAATGACAGACTTCGTGCTTTGTAAAATATTTCATTGTTAATTGCTAAAACTGGCAAACCACATACTATAGGGGAGGATTTAATTTTACCGGCAGTAAAAGAAGTATTAACTACTGTGCTCCATAAACCAGCAGCAGATATTATCCAAAAAATTCCTTTAAGCAATAGTTCTGTGCAAAGACGAATTGATGAGATGGCTAAAAACATTGAAGAATCATTGTGCAATCATCTTAAGACTTGTCAATTTTCAATTCAGTTGGATGAGTCCACTTTACCAACTAATGAGGCATTGTTATTGTCATATGTGAGATTTATCAAAGATGAGAAAATATGCCAAGAACTATTATTTGCTAGAAATTAGAAACAGATACAAAGGGGGAAACCATATTTAATACACTGGAAAAGTTTTTTGACGAAAAGGAAATTACTTTCAATAATAATATGTATGCTGCTAAAGATGGCGCTTCAGCTATGGCAGGGAGTTATAAAAGCTTCATAGTGTACTTAAAAAATAAAGTTCCAGATGTGCTTGCTGTACATTGCGTCATTCATCGCCAGCATTTGGTTGTGAGAAATCTGAGTAAATGCTTGTATACATCACTACAATATGTTATCAGAGCAGTTAATAAAATCAGAAACAACTCACTAAATGACAGATTATTTAGTCAGCTTTGCATTGCCAATGATGAAGATTTCAACCACTTGCTGCTTCACACAGAAGTGCGCTGGATATCAAAAGGTACTTGTCTGACTCAATTTTACAATCTGTTTAACTCTGTGATAGAGTTCCTGGAAAACAGAGATACAGAATTGCACAGCAATCTCATCACATCAAAGAATGATATTGCGTACTTGACAGACCTGTATAAATTGTTTAATGATATGAATCTCCAGCTTCAAGGCGACGACTTAAACTTAATTAAAACAAAAAATATCGTTGCTGCTTTTGTAGCCAAACTGCTACTGTACAAAAGGAATATCGGCAGACATAAATTTAATAACTTCTGCAATTTATCAGCAATATCCTTCAATAACGATGACTTGCTCATTTACTGTCAGCACTTGGAGAACCTCCACGATAATTTTAAGGAACGATTCCAGGACATTTTAAACATGGACATACCAGACTGGATGTTGGATCCTTTTTTAAATGTCAACACAGCAGGATCATCCCAGTTACAAGAACAACTTATAGAAGTGACAACAAACAAAGAACTATAAATTAAATTCAAGAACAGCTACCAAGAATTTTGGATGCAGAAGCGAATCTCCCAACTGTACCCTGGGTTATGGTCGGTTGTTCAACGATTTCTGATAGCATTCCCATCGTCGTATTTGTGTGAACACGGATTTAGTGCTGTAGCAACGTTGCTAACTAAAAACAGAAATCGGCTGCAAGTTACTGAACGTGGCAACTTATGGCTGTTTTTAAGTGAATTCGAGCCTGATATTAACAATCTCATCGAAATGCATCAGATTCATCCTTCCCATTAGATAAGTTTTAAATTCAAAGCCTTCTTTTAATGTTAATAAAAATACTTCTAAATATGATTAAGTATGAGTTTTATTTCCTCTCATTGAAACATTCTTTGATCTCAGAAATAGGATATGGATCACACCCTATCTATCCTATCCATATAATAATGCATGTTTAAACATTATAATTGCAACAACTGTTTTTAAGATATGCAACAGATGGTAATGTAAAAATGTTAGTTAAAAAATATGGGGCATTAGTTTTATTTTAATCTCAAAGTGGGCAGTGGTCAAAATAAGTTTGAGAACCTGTAGTTTAGCGAATATTTACTTTGTTTGCTAACCATTTAAATTCAACAATTAGACAGCCAAGTAGTTAAGATGTCGGCCCACTGTTCTGAAGGACCTGGAGACAAATTCAGATGGGCCAAAAAGACCCAGGAATTTTTAGGAATGTCAGGGCCTATCTGTAACCATCCAGATGTCCCATTGTGGACCTAACCAAACCAATGACATGTTTGATTAAAAGGCTCTCAGTGCCACAGAACAAAAAAAGTAAAAAGAAAAACCCATTTAAATTCAAATATAAAGAAATAAAAGTTTATCAATTTACATGAGCCTTTCTGATCTGGATCCCAGGCAATTGTAATTGTCTAATTAGTCTAGGTCTGACCAGCCTTGTTTTTAGAAAAAAATTTGAACACAGCTTGAATAAATTTATAATACAGTTAAAATGGCAAACAGTATTTTAACACAATTTAAAAAATTTAGAAGAAACTGAGTCTTCTCTAATGCTGTTATGTCCAATCACCAGGAACAAAACAGTCTTCCTTTGCTAAGACAAGCTTTTATTAGTGGCTATGCCACTGAAATATAATGTGAAACAGTTAAGCCTCCAATAAAAGGTTGTCTCCGTGAAGAAAGACTGTTTTGTTCCTGGTAATTGGACATGATGGAACTAGAGAAGACTTAGTTTCCTCTACATTTTTAAAATCTATAATATAAAAAATAATGGCCAGATTGAAGAAATCAATGCCAAATCACTAGAATATTGCTTGAATTGGGAACATCGTTTTACATGTTGCCTCTCTGTAACTACATAGCATCCCTACAAAGTTGGTACCCTCAAAATCAACAATAACTACATGTCATGTGGCCATCAATGACAAATTATGGAGAGGACAATCATGAATTAGTTTCATGATTGTCCTCTCCTCACATGTCTATTGCCATGTTCAAATGCTCATCATGAAAAATGACATAAAATATATATCAAAACAAAAAAAAAATTAGATTATTGGTTTGTGAAATGTACCATTCTGATACAATTGTGCAGGTGCTGCAACTGATAATTTCAGTCCTTTTGAGTGGGTAACTAAGAACGCTGTTTCATAACATTTTGAAGCAGTGTTCTTAGTTAAGTACTTTGAACTCATTTTGAAAAATCCATTTCAAACAATTCAGATACTAATTAAATTGGTACTGTGCAATAGAGTACATTTTAAAGATTCCAATCATATTAAACAGACAGTGCTTTGATAATTTTTCTCAAAGTTTTGCCATACACACTTCTGTGGAATGGATTGTAAATGCTGTCAATTCTTTGATCATTCAAAGTAGGATCCAATTGTGCACGCTATTCTTTCAGGCATAATTTGATGTTCTTTTCAATTTTACATCTCTCTTCCTTGCAAAAGTATTTGTCTTTCTGCCTTTGTTTCATGTCCAATATTGGCATTTCACTTTTTTATAGCTTTTAACCTAATTTTTTTTTTTATTATCTGTTTCCTGAATCTTCAGATGCATTTTTACATCATCTCATTATCAAAAATAAATGTTTCTGACAATGGTATTTTATTTTTAGGCCTATCTGCCTTACCGCATGCTTCACAATTATCATTGTGACAGAAAATAACCAGCTATGTATGTGATCACATGCAGTACAATCTTTCAATTTGAGATTTGTGAAAAATTTTGAGATTGAGATTTAAACGGTATAAATCAATGATAAAGTCATACTTTAATAATATCTCTATTATAAATCAATGATAGATAGGACTATATTTTATAATATATAGTTGTATCTTTTATATGCAGTTTAGGAATGACAGCTGCATTGTTTGTAGCTAAACTGACTATATAATAAAATGTTTAACTTTTTTTTTGAGACATTAGAATTTTTCTAAGAAATTTAGGTAAAATTTCAAATGTATAGCATCTTTGAATTGGGTAAATAATTCCAGACATACAGCCACAAACTTTGAATTTTATAGCTTCTGTGCAATATTTATTTATTTGATTAATACCATAATGTTCATTAATTTATTTTAAAAATTTATTAATTATTATTTAAAATTTTTACCTAAACACAGTTAGGAACTCATTACTTAGAACAAGAAGATAAGGATGAGCATAGGCAACGGCTACAATTTCGGCATCCCACCGAATTGGTGGACGTTCCGACGTACCTTCAGTTGTCACAAACACACCTAAGGCACTTGGACTACCTATAAGAAATTCTTTCTGAAAAAAATTGAATATTGAAATATATTAATAATGCTTAAATTAATTTTTCTAACATTGTAAAACATTATTGAAAATTCAATTTATAAAAAGTTAAACCCACATTACTGTCAAGCTTCAATATTGCATCTTCCTAAGCAGAATTACTTTTTAAAGAGTCATAAAATACTTGCCAACCCATCTTCTCCAATAAATATTAAACAGAGATCCTTCAGGGTCTGTAAATTACTAAATGGATGATTCTGCATTGTAAACAACACTTACCACTGAATCAGTTAACTTCTAAATTCTCAAATTTGCATGCAGATCTCAATATAATTTTGATTGTCCAAACTACTTCAGTTTAACACTACACTTAATGAAGTGTAGTGGTAAACTGAAGTACTTTGGTCAATTTCGGAGGCAAATGAATGGAGATATTAAATCAAAGTTTGATTGTACAAGGCAGTTCTCAATTTTCAGATAATTTGCACTTTTGTACATAATATTTTGAATTCCTAAATTGATTTTCATATGACAAATTTTGTCTTTTATACATCAATGAGCCAAAAAAATTTTTGAACCATTTTATGATGCCAGTTTTGGTTTAGGTAACATTGCGATCATAAACCACATCTACAAACCTCAAGTACATACGTAATAAGCCAACTACTGGATTATATTGGACTATTATATCGCAATTATTTTAAATTAATTACTAAATAATTTATCATTAGAGGGAGGCGTTAGGCGCCATCTCTGGGTAGCATAACTGACAACGCTTCCGCACAATAAGCAGCAGTTGTGGGTTTGAGTTCCACTCCAGATTGATTCTTTTCTTCCAGAACTTTCTAAATTATTTAGTTTAATTTTAATTATTCAACCTAATGGCTTCCTCTAGTGACAAATTATTTAGTAATAAATTTAAAATCACGATATAATTGCCTGATATAATCTGGTAATAGTTGGCATATAACATCAAAATCATTTGTAAAAATTAATTTTTTTGTCTGTTTTATGCTTAATCTATGGTTTTAATGTTTTTAAATTATATTTTAAGCATCATAAGCCAGTGCTTATGATGCTTAAAATATGATTTAAAGTAGAAGTTTAATTTTTCTTTTTTATATAAATATTTATATATAATGTTTCTTTTTAGTTCTGTGGAAATGGAACTTACTTTATAGCACACAACTCTATCATTTAACCTTTAATCTTTAAAGTTTTATGCACATTTTTAGAAATGTATTACATCCAAAGGTTAGAGACCATCTATATATCTTTAGTAGTAAATTTACTTTATAAGATAATTTATTAAATTAATATAATTATCACCTTTGTTATCCTTTTTACAATTGGATTAAAGTTTCCTGTTTCATAAGGGAGAAGATCTTGAATATAACATGTTTCCATATTCACAACAATATATTTTGTTAATAAGGCAACACATGCAAAATTTCCATCCATTTCCTATCAGAAAAAAATATAATCAGATTATAATCAACGAAATAATTTGCAAAAAGGAAAGCTCAAATTTCTAATAAGCCAAATTACGCCATATTTTTTGGAGTTATTTTATGACTAAAATAGCATTTTAATTATTGCCCAAAAAATCTAATATAATTTGGCATAAAGCAATTATTATGTTATATATCAATAACAATTATTAAAGTAATAATCTTAAAAATTTTTATTACATAAAAGTAGTTAGATGAATTTTGATGAAACTTTAATGTATTAGGAAAGATAATAAATACAGGTAATGACTAACAATGGTAATAAATATTTTTATATTAATGGGCATTTATCATACTTAACCATTGAGATGGAACATCATGAAGTTAAACTGACTAAATCCATTCAGCTTACTTGATGATCAACCTGTGGGTTGATCTTGACCCATAGAGATCAATAAGGCATTTTCAGAGGTCAAAAGCAAACAATTAAAAATGATTAGTATGATGAGTTACATATAGAGAACTTGCATGAAAGTCATCTCATGTGACCAAATTGTCATTGCTCCACCTCATGCACCTTAGTTGTGCCGTGCTGTTCGTGTATATAGTTTGGCTTGGGTCTGAATGCTTATCATGTGTAGAAGTTAGCAAAACATACATTCTACTTTCCTGGCTCTGTTATATATATCAGAGGAAAACTATGGTAACATTTTTATATTCTTAGACTCAAGACACTAAAACATCGAGAAATGAACAAACAAAAAAAAAAAATTGCGATTTTATCTGTGCGCGTGCGTGTCTAGAGTGGACACAATTTTGTTCACCCAATTTGAAGCTTAATAATTCCTGTGACTTTTGTCAAAAATTTCCAAAATTTTGCAGAGAGGTTTGTATACTAAAAGCATTAATGATATTAAATTTTGGTAGTTAAAGGTTGGAGATCATGGATCATATCTTGAATACGACTGGACTTAAGATTTTCCTTGTTATTAACATTTACAATTTTTTTATAAACTTCATCTCTAATCTCAAAATTAAGTCTTTTGCCATTTTATAACAACTAAAAACAAACACTTTTTATAACAAAATCTCATAAATAACAGTGCCCCCCACACAATTTATTTATGTTTAATAACATAAAATTTAATTTTTAATTAAGATCTCATAACAGCTGGGAATGTTACACAGCTCATTAATTTTGTTATTTAGAAGCAATTTTACATATATTTTTGTTTGAAAGAGAAATGTACAATGTAAAAATTCATTATATGGAGAAAATTTGCAGAAGTTTGTAATATAGAAGTTTGATTGTATTCAATAAAGTCTATTTAAACATTTTTAGGTAAGTGTTATTAAATTAATTTTTAACCTTAGGTAAGTAAGTAATCATTCATAAAAATGACAAACAAAATACAGCTGTATCTTGGTATTCAAACTATTTTCAATTCAAACAATTCGATATTCAATCAGAAATTCTGGAGAAAAATTGCTCAATACTTGACTGAAAAAACAAGGTCCCCCTAGAACAAATTTTCGATTAACAACATATTTTTATCACCAAACGATCGCCTAATTATCGGGCTATAATATGGCTATTTTAAATGATTGGAACTAAGTAATTTGACAATTAGAGGTAGGCGTTAGGCGCCATCTCTTAATTAAATTAATAATTAAATAAATAATAATTAAATAAATAAATTTAGAACATTCTGGAATAAAAGNCTTGTTTGGTTTATACGGTGAGCACAGTTCACTTGACACTCCACTCCTTTTATGCTCCATAATATTATCAGTTTCTGTTTTAAATAATAAGTTCAGAAAAGCACTTACAAAAGTTCAGAGAACAGAAATCAACTAGTGCACAAAAAATTATTTAAATGCAAGGCCCAGATGAAATTTGAAATCTGGTATTAAAATGTTAATGAATATCCAATGGGACAGTTAAACTCTCATCTTTTGTAAATAAAAACCGACACAAAACTACCCGCACGACAGTCTCGCGAAGACTATAAAACATTATTGGTCAGAAAGGTAAACAAAAATCTGGAATTACAAGGGAGAGTTTCAAAATATGGAGGAGTACTATCCGATCAGTATTGGGATGAGCATCTATGTCTCCAGAGCTCCAAAAAGTTTCAAATTGTCACCTGGAGACAAGGGAAGACAAATCGGTATTCACTATTTTATATCACTTCTTTTTCTGTACATTCTGTGAAGTGTTCATTGTCCTAACAAAATCTTTCGCAAAAGTGTTCGTTATCCAAACTGTTTGTTAAACAATCACCCACTGTAAAAGAAAATGCCCTCGTTTAAAATTAATATTATGCATAATACAGTACTTTTAATTGTGATTTTTGGTTAATTATTGATTGCTTTAATAAAAATATTTCTCTTAGTAATGAAAAAGAATAGTATACTTTTGTTACCTTTGAAACCTAACTCTATGTTTTGCATTAATCCTTTGTTTCGTATAGCACAGATTTGCATAACCCTGCCCTTCTTTTGCAATGTAAATACCATATTATACAAGTGATACCAGTATTTGCTATTTTATATAAAAAGTAAGAAAATTCATCATTCCTTTCAATCACAATTTTTTAACTTTACAAATTCCCATTACAGTCAATATAGTCTGGATATATTTTTGCTCATCTATAATATTTACTGTATTAACATGTATTTTCAATAATTTTCAAAATATACTGTATATTTTGAAACTTATCATAAGCCAACAATTGCCATATTGAATTTGACTACTTTACTGCTACTATTAATGAAATTTGAAGTAATCTGATACTACAGGTAGGTGTAAGGCATCATCTTTTATTAATTATTACAGAATTTCATTATTAATAGTAATGGTAAAATAATCTGATTCAATATGGCAGTCATTTGGTTGATAATTAAACATTGGACTTTGAGATGTATATATATGTAATCAAAATTATCTTCTTTAAATACAAGTGCACACACAAATCTATGACATTTAATCATTGATAATATATAAAAATATATTTAATACTTATAGTTTAATTTACTGAGAAAAATTAAAATATTTCTAGTTTTAATATTTTATCATAACATTTAAAAAATTTAAAAATTAAATTAATTTACCATTGTAACAGTTAAATCAGGCAAATTTACATCTTTAATATGAATTATCTTATCGTCAGTTATATGATATAATTGAATTTGTTTCTTTCTTGCTAAACAAACCTAAAAAAAAAAAAAATTGTGGTTAATTCAGTAAAATACAAAAACAAATTTAATTTATTATAAATAAACATAAAAATTTTAAAAATAACTATAAGTACAATAGCCCCTTATCTGTGGTTTTGCTTTCCACAGTTTCTGTTACCCACAGTCAACCGCAATCTCAAAAATATTGAAAGGAAAATTCCAAAAACAATAATTTTGAAGTTTTAATTTGCATGCCATTTTCAAATAAACAATGAAATCTGAAACTGTCCCACTCTGTCCCAGGCAGTAGTGCATACAGGATGAATTTACTGTATATGCTACCCACCTACTAGTCGTGTAGTAGCCATTTTGGTTATTGGATCAATCATCACAGTATCATGATGCTTGTGTTAAAGTAACCCTTAGTTAATTTGATAATGACTCCAAAGAGCAAGAATACTGCTGCTAGTAATTCAGATATGCCGAAGAAAAGCTGTAAAGTGTTTCTTTTATGTGAAAAGGTAAAAATTCTTAACTTAATACGGAAAAAAATCCCACATATTGAGATTTGATGTGTTGTATTACTGTTATATTGTTGCAACTATTCAATAGCATATGTATTTAATAAATTATTTATTAATTTATATTATAATTATTAATTTAGATAAGAGATGGCACCTAATGTCTACTTCTAGTAGCAAATTTCTCAGTATTATTAAAAATCAGCAAATTTATAGCCTTAATATTTAAGGCAATCGTTAGGCTATGTATACATAGGCTTCAAAACAATCTGCAATTTCAGACATCCACAATCCACAGAGGGTACTGAAACCTAACCCCTGCAGATAATAGGGCTATTGAACACAAATTTCCATATTAATGGTAGAAAAAATTAAAGTTTTCTATAATTTCATTGTATAAATATATTTAAAAAAAAACAAAATTTTATCTTTTAAATCTAAGAACCAATTTTATATTTATTTTGTTTAATTATACATTATGCACTGATGAAACCTCCTTGTTTAGTTTTTTCTTCCTTTTTCTATATTTTCAAGAATAAATTTTTATGATCTTCCCATATTAGTTTTCACTTGCTGTCATTACTTGTACTGTACAATGTAATGACAGCATTTAAAAAATATTATTTATGTTAACTTTAATTTACATTAACACAAAAACTTCCTTAATGAAAAGTTATTTTATTAAAAAATCAAAAATCAACTAAAGAATAAAATAAATGGCACAAATAAAAATTGAAAAATTTCTCTATTTTTAGAATCTTGAGAAAATCAGCAAATATTCTGTAAAATTAAATTATTTGAGTTACTGTTTCAGGAATATTAGTTTTTCTGCAAGTACGAAGAATAATTTATTCTTTTACAAATATATATTAAAACATTGTTTAATTATGTCCAAAAAATTAAAGTATAGAAGATTTGACATAATAAAAATAAATATAAAAATTACAGAAGTGAAGCTTTTGTTTTATATTGTGCAAAATCTCATATTCTCAAACTTTGCATAACAAAATACCATATTTACTCGCATATAAGACGAGGTTTTCACTCATTTTTTACTGCTTCCGAAACCTAGGTTGTCCTATACGTGTGAGTGAAGGATTCTTTGCATTTTTGCAATAATTTCTGTGAACTGTGTATAGTTCATTCAGTCATTATAGGTCTACAGTCTATTTATTGTAAGTTGGCATCTACTGTAAACAAATTAACACACACCCTTTTTGTTTACTGGTTTAATCCTACGTCCATCAACTAAAAACCATGTTGCATCTCCACAGAAATTAGTTCTTCGTTATTTATAAAATCATTAATGAAATACAGGTCACACCTCATCCTATACATAAGATTGTCTTATACATGAGTAAATACGGTATAATTTTAAGTAAAAAAACGACAAATGCTGATTTGGCAGTTCTTAATTAATTAATTTATATATTTTTGTACAAAGAATATAAATGCTTTTGTTATAGAAATTTTAAGCAGAAATTTAACTAATTAATTCTTACCTCTACACTGAATGGATTATTTTCTGTTGGATTTTCATTTAGACAGAATGATGTTATACCCTTTAATTTTGACATGGAAGGAATTGTCTATATAAATAATAATGTAATTAACACATTTATATAAATATATTTTATATATTTATCTTACATTATTATCATTTTATAGATTATATAAAATGATTTCTATAATTCCAAGAAAACAACTGTTACAGCTAGAAAATGGTTTGGAAATTCTTTTCTTAGACATTTTCAAATTGGTGCTGATTCAACTTTGGGAAATATTGGCATAGCCAGAACAAAATAGAAAGTTTTTAATTTTAAAACTGGTTCATAGNCAACAAGTTACTTAACTTTCCTGGCAATGTTTAAAACTGTGTGTGGCATCATCTGTTATGATATTTCATTTAAAAACACTTTATATTTTTAATTATTATGAAATAATAAAAAGCTTAATCATGAGGGTAGGGATGTTTTATAAAAAGTTTAAATGCTAATAACGAGTAAAATTGAGGTTTGATGCAGAGATAAATTAAAAATGATTTGTTTCCTAGAGATAGAAATCAAGTATATAAAACAGATCTAACTCAAGTAATTTTATTACATCAAATATATGATAAATATTGTAGATATTGTTTTCAGTTTAACACTTTAGTTGACAATTGACAAGATTTTGCTTGTGTGACCTTCATTACAATATTCCAATGACATGATTTTTGCATCATTCAGGCATGACACTGGAAGTTTTTGGTAAATTGTGCATGTTATTTTTTGGGCATTATTTATTACAATCTGGAATTATAAGAAACATTTTAGAGATTATATTTTAATACTGTACTTGGTTTCTTACTTTTACTGACACTAATGTTTTTGGTCTTATTGAAAGACCTTCTTTGGATGCTTGTTATAAATTATAACAAAACGAAAAAATAAAACAGTGTAAATTAAAATACATACAAAATATTACAAAATTTTAAATATTAAAGTTTACAGAATGTCTGGAAGGAATTTATATTCAAAATATTGAGCAACTTAAACATAAAAAAAATTTAAATAAAATAAAAGATAAAAATTTAATTATAATAGTTTTTACTTTTAATGTACTTTGTATGTGGATCTCCCATTGTAGATATAGATCTGTGTCTTGAGAATTAATGCATTCACAATAAAGGCAGCTTTACAGATTTCTAATAGTTCTATATTTCTTGAGTCACCACAATTTTACAGATAGGACTTATTAGTCAATAAAAATCCAGTTATTGATAAGAAGTTACAGCTTAATAATTTTAATATGTACCTATTACATGTTTGTTTACTGACAGTTACAAAGTTTAAAATAAATCTACTACATACTTACTTCCAAGTCGACCATATTAAGAACCATAAAATTTCCATCACAGAGTGCAAATATCCTATTTAAGGCAGAGACTGCTTTCAATTGTAAAACTGGTTTTTTCTAGTTAAACAAAAATTAAAATTATTTAATCAGAATGGTTATATAAAATATTTAATTCATTTCACATATTTATATTATAAATATATTAAAATTAAATTTAAGTTTGATTTTATTTTTAATTTTAGTTTCAGTTTCAGTTTTGGTGTAAAGGCCAATTTTAATTATTTTATTACTTTTAAATTTAATTATTACTTTTAGTTTTAATTAACTGACTACCTAGTATTAATAAATATTAAATATTAATACAGTAAGACCCCGCTTAGTGTGGAGATGTGTTACTAGACAACAAAGCGCTAAACAAAACAGCGTTAAACAAGGTCATTTTAACATAGAGTAAATAGGGAAAGGAGAACACATGACCAAAAATAAACAGATTTTACTTTAATTTTAAGTTATCTTTATATTAATTTGCATATTAACATATGTTAAATAACACACAAAAATATGCACACAGAAATGTAAAGTTTATTTTTTGTAATGAAGGTCCTGGTTTTTCTGAAATTCTTGTTTTTTTGTGATAAAGTTGTGTAGTTTCATTTGTTGCTTTTTTTTTCTTTCTTTATGCAAATGTTGTTAGCAGAAGATCACATCCAAAACACCTCATTTTGCTTTTGTACTCCTTTTAAAATCTGGATCATTCGCTACAATTTGATCAATGATTTCGGTTATTGTTACCAAACTTTTACTAAGGAAATCTATAGAGAAATTCTTTGGTTTTTCATTTTCAGAATCTCTATTTTCTAGTTCTACACGAATTCCTTGTTCTGCCAGTTCTTGAAGGTCATCGTTGGTAAGGGTCTCACCAGAAACCTGCAGTAACTCCTCAATATCCTTCTTGTCTACATCTCCTAGTCCTGCTGTATCGATTAGGTTGACAATTTGGTCAACCTAACAATACAACAATAGGCTCTTCTAGTTGAGAATTCTTAGATACCTTCAGCTATAACTTCTTCCACATTCTGTTCATGCATTTATCAGTTAATTCTTGCCAAGAGAAGTCGATACTGCATACAGCATCTACGATGTTATATTTTTATCCAAAATTGTACCAAACAAACATAGATCTAAGAAAAGTACAGCAATACAATGAATTGCCACCTTTTGCTGATTTATGTTCATAAATAATCATATTATATATGAATCAATGAAATGCCATGATCATTTGAATCAACATAAATTTTGAGCTCTTTTCAGGCTTTGTGAAAACCGTATTATATCGAATCAGCGTTAATCGAAGCAACATTAAGTGGGGTCTTACTGTATTATAATATATAATATTATATTAAAAATTTTTGTCATTTAATTTAACTTAAGCATAATGTTACAAAACACCTTTCTCACTTTTTCTAGCAAACTTTTAATTTAAATAAACTAATGTTTTCAGCTATTCCAAATAGCCTTCATCAGGTTTAACATAATTTTGAATGTCCTTTTCTGTACCATTATCTAGAAGTTCTAGCTTACAGCATATAAAATTATAAACAAGCATATTTAAACACAAATTCTTGAATGCCATTTATATTATGTGAATGTCAATTAGCATGATTTTTATTAATTAATTTGATTTAAATTTGTCTGTGACGCTTACTGAAAAAACAGAAATAGTATATTTCCTGCATGCGCATTAAAATGTAATTTAAATAGAGACGTCATCGATAATTCTTGTCATGATGCAAGGCAATTTCAGAGTCACTAACTTCTTAATCAACAGTCCTGCCATTGGCTTTCTTTAACATAGAAAGTTGACCATCAGTGACCAGAGCTTGTTTGGCAACTGGGTAAAAACAGGACTTCAAAATTTTGTTCCTAAACTGAATTGTTCAGTATATATCTAACTTTCCTGGCAATGTTTAAAACTGTGTGTGGCATCATCTGTTATGATATTTCATTTAAAAACACTTTATATTTTTGTGAAATCCGCGATTTTTACGCCGATGTCGGAAAAATCTTTGTAAACAACTCCGATGGAAAAACCCACTCTTGGTGAGAAGTATATCGGAGGTCACCGATTGTTTTCACATTATGATGGGAAAGTTGACAGTTAGTTGATCGGAATGCACCGTAAGTGTCAACTGAAGTCGATCACGTGACTCATTTCCCACGAATAACGTATAAAAGCTCGAGTCCCCGGAAGCTCAGGGCGATCCCTCGGAAGTTATACTTGGTAGATGTGCCATATTTGTCTCCATACTCCGGACCGAAAGGACATACGACCAACCACAGCCGTTTGAACTTCCATCGCCATTAACGAACATATTCAACGAACGCATTTTAGACATATCGGCATACAGGTATCTGTACTTTTTAGAGCTTTGTGAACTCTCTCTCAGACTAGCAGGTAAAGCTATTAGAGCGTCCCTTTTGTACAGTGAATTTATTTAATCGCATTTAACCTATGTATCCTAGCTTAGTTATATAAATAAATGCTTGTTTTGTTTTTAAACCTGTCTCCTGTCTCTGAAGGACACCTGCCGACTTACCGACGCACTCCCCACTCAAATTTTTGCCCTCCTAGCCATCCGACTAGCCGAGAACGGGTTTTACCAACCTGTTGCAGAGTAAGTGGTCATTTGGGATGAGCCCAGTGGCCCACTGCTAATCTCACATTTTTAATTATTATGAAATAATAAAAGGCTTAATCATGAGGGTAGGGATGTTTTATAAAAAGTTGTAAAAAGTTACTAATAGTTTAATCCTATACTCAGCAAACACCACCAGTCGATTTAAAGATCCTAGCACTATGTAACATTTCTGTATATACTGTCACCCTTTGTAATGTATTGTAACAATTAACTGCAAACCCATACATTCATATCTGTGTTATATAATTTATGGGTAGCTCCAAATAACTAATTCCTTTCTGAAAAAGTTAAGTCTTTTATAACTTAAATTATATATACCATGCTGTTGTTATTTATTCATCCATTCTTATATATCTAATTTATCAAATAAAATATCATTCATCAGTTCTAAAACAAGCTTTTCTGGAAAACATCCAGCAACAAGTTGCTTAACTTTCCTGGCAATGTTTAAAACTGTGTGTGGCATCATCTGTTATGATATTTCATTTAAAAACACTTTATATTTTTAATTATTATGAAATAATAAAAAGCTTAATCATGAGGGTAGGGATGTTTTATAAAAAGTTTAAATGCTAATAACGAGTAAAATTGAGATATGACATATGACCTTCCCCCTTTATTTCCACACCCTCTTGACCTTTAACCACCGAAATTTAATAGCCTAAATTCTCCTAATACACAAATCTCAATGCAAAATTTCAGAAATTTTCAACAAAAAGCACAGGAATTATTAATCTTCAAAGTGGGGGAATAAAATCGCCCCCAAATACATACAGAAAAAAAAAACACAATTTCTTTTTGCATTTCTCAACATTTCAAGGTTCCCCGAATCCAAAAATGTACAAATCTGGTATGTCATTTTTTGACCTATCACCATACTTTCCCCTCTGTATATATAACAGAGCAAGGAAAGTAAAATTTATTATTAATAAATTTATCATCTGCCTCTAAGTAATTAATTAGGCAATTTTACATTAAAAGAATTTTTATGGAAGCTTGTATTATTCCTATTAACTTATTTTCATTTTCACGGTTGATAACATTTTGAGCCTGAGGAAGTGACTCGACATTAGCATTTTACGGATTAGGTTATTTGTTTTTATTTCAAAAAATATTACTCTATTAATTGTAAAAATTTTAAATTATGAAACAAATGCAGTTACTTACATAACCCAGATATTTTTGCATCAATTTTTTACTCTGAAATCGATATGTGCCATCCGGTTGTGATTTATCTTCTAAATGATAGTGAATAATAAAACTAGAACAAAATTAAAATATTTATGAATATTTTATGAAAGTTAATTTAGATAAAAAACTAGAGAGAAAAAGGGTCAACCTTTCAGACGTTCCGACATAAATATCTTTACCGCAGCATTCCAAACATTCTATCTGTTAAATAAAATCATAAAATTAATTATTATTATTATTATTTTATAATTTGTTTTCATTTGACACACACTAATTAATATTAAATTATAATTATAAATATTTGGAAAATTATTTGAATATTCTACATTATTTTCTCAAATCTTTAGTTTTACTTTGTAAAGTATAATAAGTATTTTAACTATAATAATAAACAAAGTGTAAACACACATTGCACTAGGTCACATCTCGCTTCTGTTACTTAATGACTAAATGCATTTACACTGGAGTTTAGGCAATCTCAAACAGACTATTCATTGGTTTAGATACCTTCTGAACTCCTCTCTATACAAGGATAAATCTATTTGGAGACCAATGAAGAATAATGGCAGAGTTTAAATTACATAGTAGTAGAGCATCTCAAAATCAGTACAAAAAGTTTTTTATTTAGTTAAAATACTCAAAGGAGAAGCAGCTCGACATCGTCAAAAAGTGAGTGGCGAAACCACGAGATATCTCTGCACAGCACTGCAAACAAGGCCTGAAATTCCAAAAATGAATTTCATTTTTTGAATTATTCGCCTTAGATGTGTTAGAAATATTCATAGCCTGAAGACCACAAAGTCATATTTTGTTGAAAATGTTTGAAAGAAGAGTAAATACTTTTTATTAAAATTTGTAGTGTATTGATTTTCTTAACATCTCAGAAATAACATTGGAATGATAAATGGGTATTGTTAAAAACTTTCCAAACACAAATTAACTTTAAGTACAACTCAAATACTTTTGGCTGAGCCGATTTAACCTTCTTCAAAGGCAGAATATAATACAGGGTGTTTACAAATGACTGAGCACATTTCATTAATAAATTATAAATAAACCAAACAACTTAGAAAGATGTACTATATATCAAATCATACAGCAGCTCAGTTTTTACCAAAAAAATGCTCGCCTTTAGAAGATCTTGGTAGGGGTTCCATTTGTGATGCAAACAACATACGACTGATATTAATTTCTCTCCACTTGTTCCACAGTGTTTCCGACATAACTGTTTGGATGAGTTCCTTAATTTGTCGCTTAAGTTCACCAATTTCACTCACTTTTGATGCATACACAAGATCTTTCACATACTCCTAGGAAAAAAAATCCAGACTGTATGCCTCTGGATTTTTTTTCAATTAATTCATTAATAAAATACATTCAATCAATTGTAAACATCCTGTAGATAAGAATAGAACTTTGAATTTTAAATTGAACAGAATTAATTTTCAAAGAACTTTGTAAGTTTTCTATTTCAAAGTAGAACTTTTATCTTATTTTATTATTTGTTGTTAGTTCATCTATCTTTTTGAATGTTGGTTTGCATCTTTCAAACTTCAAAGTGTTGTTCTACTGTAAAATGAAAAATGTATGAAAACATAACAGTTTTTCTCATTTCAAACATTGAGCTCCGCAGCTTTAAATTTTTCCTTCTACAGAATAATTTAATTCAGTATCTATTTTGGTTTTTGAAATTGTGTTACAATGAAATTGAATAAAATGAGAGATATTTGTATATATCATTAGTTATTAGTTCTTTAATTGCACATATAATTAAATATAAGCAATTAAAAATACTTTTATAACCTATAACTTAACAAAATGTTTTTATTACGTGCAATGACTACGATGCAAAACAACGTATAAACAATAATCTCTATTGCAAATTGACAAACAGATTTCGATAAAAGCAAATTAAGAATCCCCAAAAACAGAAAGAACAAACTAAAGATCTTCATACTTTATTCTAAAAATTGTCAACTTGGACTTATCGGATTATTAGGACTAGTGTAATAGTCCAGTGTAATAATCCAATAAGTCCAAATTGACAATTTTTAGAATAAAGTACGATTTAAGGACATTAAAACAATTAAATTAATAAAGATCTTTGTCTTCCTCTCTTTGGGGACCAAGCTGGAATCTATAAAATAAAATTTTAATTATGAACTTTGGAAAATGTATTTACATAATTTCAAATGCATAGAGAAATAAGAAATGTGGTAAATCAAGAGTATCATAAACTGTTAGAGGAAACTGAATGGCCACAAGTTCCAGGGCTTATGATCTTTCACAATAGCCATTCTGAAAGTTTGAATAATAAATAATAGGTCCTACTTTGGCTTATTTTAGAACCTTAGCTTTTACAACCAGTATGATTTCCTATACATTTTTCAAAGAAAATTCCTCATATGCAAATCTAATTCAAACTGCTTTTCTTGGAGAAAAACACATTCAAGTGTTTTCAGGCTATACACCTGTCAATACAAATCAACAAGAGAAATAAAGATCAAGATGCCAAATTGCTATTAATTTAACTTAATTTTCCTTCATTGTCAGCACAAAATAAGATTTTATTAGTATCAACACACCCAAATATCATTCGCATCTTTCTTTTCAGTTCCTTTTACCCAATGTCTGCTGCATTCATTTTCATTAAAATTTGTGTTACTGGAATATAAAGGTTCTTGACTGTGGGTGATTCGTTTCAGTAATTTGATAAGAAGCTAGTTTAATTTACTGATATAATTTTTTAGATAAAATTGCAGCTCTGAATGAGGCAATTAGGAATTTATCAGACCTGCAAACCATCCCAGACTAAAAAAGTCAAAGGTACAAGATGATTTGTGTGTGGCCCTTCGCAAGATACAGTTTCCCACATCAGTCTCTCTGGAGTATTGAAGACTCCTAATGGGATAAATTTAAAAGTAAAAAAATCTGATGCAATTTCTCAAAACAATACAAAAAATCAACTGTTTTCCACTTTATTAGGAATGACTAAAGCTCATAAAACCATTACACGGACTACTTCCTGGATGCAATTGGAGTCAAAAACATACTTGATTAAACATGTCACGTGTTTAACAAACAGCCCAATTGGTGTTTTGGAGGGCTATACCTCATGTCACATGTAGACTATTGGTTCCTTTGACATTTTTTTTTACTCCTTTAGATATGGTCTACAGCTCTGATAAGATCTTAACTGCCTCATTTAGAGCTGAAATTTTACCATTTTTAGTGCTTATAAGTCCTAGCCTTAGTTATCTGGCAAGTTTTGTTATACATGTCATTTCCCTGACAATGACTTTTTTTCAATATTCAGAAGTATTTGAAAAATGGCTTTGTTTTTTACATCTTTTATGCGATATTTAATTGCCTTATTCTTTACTGACTGTATCTATGTGGTATTATATATTTCAAACTATTTCCACAGATAATTTTCATTTATGACAATGAGCCTATGTAACATCAATTTAATATTCACAATAAAAACTTGAGTCTAAATTCTATGAAGTCACATCACATTGGATCTTTGGTCATTATTCTCTGAAAGACTCTACAATAATCTCCAATTTAAGGACTTTATAGCCATTCTGTGCAAAGTGAATAAGCTACAAAATAACTAATAATANAGGAAGAGAGAGAGAGAGAGAGAGAGAAAGAGAGAGAGAGAGAGAGAGAGAAAGTCTGTTATAATACTTTAACATTTTTTTGGTACGTCCACCGAAACATCCGGAGATGTCAAAAAAACGACGACATTTATGTTGGCAAATGTCAGACATGGTTGGTTGACAAGTTTATGGCTTGTCACCCTCACCTCGTCCGTGACGTCATTTCCGACTGCTTTCAAGATGTGACTTCCTGACGAAAATAAAAATATATATATATATTATATTTGCTGGTTATAAATCGATTTCAAGATTTTCAGCTCAAAAGTCTGGTTTAAAGCTATACGTATCACCTAAGTCAAAGATGGGCAATCCGCAGTCTCCCATTTTTTGCGGCCTGCCTCGCATAAAATATGAATAAATGTATCGATTTCCCAGCTTAAGGAAGTACAGTATGCAGCAAAAATTCAAATGTTATTTTCTACAACTTATGTTTATGAATAGTTTTTCTGCAATAAACTTAGTAAAAATTAAAACAAGAAACTGGCAAATTGACATCGAAACTAATTTAAAACTAGCAGTGACTAATATTTAACCAAATATTTCCACCGTATTATGTTTACAACAATTCCAGAAGCTAAATTAAGTATACCTACGCTAATTTATAATTACACACGAATAAATAATTGTAATTTACTGACATTATTTTCCTCTTATATGCAGCCCGCATCAGTTCAAAAGTTTTGTAATGTTGCCCTTACATAAAAAAAGGTTTCCAATCCCTGACCTAAGTTAACCCACAAACATACAATAGGCTATATTAAATATTGGGTATATGGACACATACAAAATAAGGCCACACAATATTCTGAATAAACAATACTATCTTTACAGCATTAAAATTTTTTAATGATAGTAAGCTAGCACTTTATTGATAATGGAATTATCACTTTAGCAATAACAATAGTACTTTCAACACAGCATTAGTCTTTTACTGTCATTAAACTGGAAGTAGGTCGAAATTTTTGATTAATTAAATATATTGCCGGCATTATCAAGGTACAGTAGAACCTCGATTATCTGGACCTCTATTATCCGTATTTTCGATTATCCGGATTGTTCAAAATAAACAAAAATTTTACAAATTTGCTGATTTGCACTTGGCGAATTACAACACTGTTTATGTAAGTGATGGAATGCATAACTTTTTTTGTTTCAACAACGTCTCACCCGGCACAGTGGCCGTAAACTCTTAAATATATTTTGTGTTGTAATAAAAATATAACTTGACATACGTATTTATAAATAATTTTATTTTCAAATTACATCATTTCTATGACCAAGGGCGGCGTAAGGCATGGGCAACATGGGCCACCGCTTATGCTTCGCGGTCCGAAGGGCCTCACGATTCGAAGATTTATGCATTACTTAACAGCCGCGAATGCAACAAAAACATTTTACTCGTCATAAAACGATAAATAGTTTGTCAAATTTTTATTCATAAAAATGCAGTTTCAACTGCTTTTTATTTTATGCAATTTGTCTTCTTGCGCCACCAGAGAGCCTTTTAAACAATAGGTAGTCTGTTAGCGTTGGTCA